AGCTGCAGAAGAAATGGGCCAACAGGGCAGGTGTCGGGGTGTGCAAGGCCTGGCTACACCTGTCCAAAGGTAAGCAGTAGGGCAGCTCCACTTCCCAACCCTACCCTAGCTTAATTTTTACCCGTCCACTCTGGAATGAGTGGGATCTTAACTAGGGCTTATTTTGGGGGCAGGGCTTATACTGGACACATGTGTAAAAATCAAGCTAGGACTTACTTTCAAGGTAGGTTGTATTTTCAGGGAAAGAGGATAGGATCAGCAAGGTGCAGTTCTCTGAAAGTTCCCTTTATTTAATACATTGCCCTCATTTTTATGTCCCCTTTCTTTTGGGCTAATTTGAAGCGGTATAGGAAGCCAACTAAACAATGAGTAAAAAATAAATAATAAAATAGGCATGCGGGCTTAATAATCATCTACTCTATGAACCTTGAACGGCCTTCAAATTTACGGAAAGCCAGGAGGGAGAAAGGAGAAGCCATTCACAAAAAGCGCCTGCTGTATTTTCTAAGAAATAAATAGATTCTCGTCTATGGCTGGATTGGGTAGATGTTGGTGGACTACAACTCCCATCAACCCCCCCACTACTGGCTATTTGGCTAGGTAATGGGCACCGGAGCCTAAAAATTTCTGGAGCTGCCCATATTCCTAACCCCGATCATTTAATATAATAAATACAATTTTGGGCGCACATTTAATATCACCTCATACCACGAGACAAGTGGCATATGGATATGATGAATAAAGGTACAGATTTAGTGAACCCAAAATCTTCTAAAATGACCCTCCAAATTGCTGAAGGATGATCATTCTGTTTGAGCTCCATGAAAGTTAAACTGGATTTATGTTCGCTTCTGAATGGAACAGGTGGAAAATTGGTTTCAGGGTTTTGTCAGTTTACGGAAACCTAAATTGACCAAATATAGTAGCCTGGTTTCAGACTTGCCACGCCCAGCCAAAGTCCACAGATTCTTCCAAACATGGTTAAAGCAGACCATCTGAATGCCGCCATCCAGCAAACCCCGCCACACACGGAAGATCACAAGGTTTACCTCATCTTCCAAGGCCACCATTTTGTGCCCCAAAATATTCCATGGGTCAAAATGGATTCTGTTCAGACCATTTCACCACACACAAAAAAAAAATGTTGAAAAATTGTGTCCGATCATGTAAGTCCTCAACTTACAATTGCAATGATTTTCGATTGCAATTCTGGGCTCGATTACTTGAGGGACTGCCCCAAAGAAGAGGGAGTCAACTTATTTTCCAAAGCACCCAAAGGCAGGACAGGAAGCAATGGATGGAAACTAATCAAGGAGAGAAGCAACCTGGAATTCAGGAGAAACTTCCTCACCGTGAGGACAATTAATCAATGGAACTGCTTTCCACCAGAAGTTGTGGGTGCTCCAACACTGTAGGTTTTAAAGAAGAGATTGGGCAACCATTTGTCTGAAACAGTAGAGTTTCCTGCCTGGGCAGGGGGTTGGACTAGAAGACCTCTAAGGTCCCTTCCAACTCTGTTATTCTCTGTTCAATCTCTCTCAAAGGCTTCCAACCACAGCCAGGATTCCTAGTTGTGATCCAATTCACAAAGTCAAATGACACGGACTGCTAGTCAAATAAATAGCATGCACAACCACACTCAGCACAAGGAACAACTTTTGCATGGTGTGACTTTTCATCTAGGGTTGGCACACGAGGGCAAGGGATGTTGTGAGTCATAGTAGTAAAAATCTAGACGGGCTGGCTTTTCAACTGGAAGATTTATTGGGGGGAAGGCACCCCATATTCTAAGCACAGAAAGTGACTGCAGTCATAATCAGAACAGGAGTTTGGTCTAGTGGTTAAGGCACCAGGCTAGAAAGCAGGAGATGGTGAGTTCTAGTCCCAGTTTAGCCATGAAAGCCAGCTGGGTGACTTTGGGCTAATCACCAGGAGACGGTGAATTCTAGTCGCGCTTTAGGCACGAAAGCCATCAGGCTGACTTTGGGCTAGTCACTCTTAGCCCAAACTACCTCACAGGGGTGTTGTTGTATGGAAAATAGGAAGAGGAAAGTGTGTAAGATATATTCACCACACTGAGTTATTTGTAAAAAATAAATAAATAAAGGTGGGATACAAATAAACAAACAAAATGATAACATCCAACCTTATAAATTTAGACAAGCAATAATTCAATTTGTCCTGGCTATTTTCTCCACAATATCAACTCTGGTTGTCTTCAGGTTCAAAGCTGCTAGCGGAGTCCTTTCTGTGCCCCTCCCTATTTGACCAATTTCCATCAAACTTTCAACAGGCGTATCACTAAACTAGCATTATTACAATACACAAGGACATTGCAAGGACATTATGTTTGGGGCACTGACTTCAGCATAAAACAGACTTTGGGTGATTTTGGAAGCCAGGAATCTAGAATAGAATAGAATAGAATAGAATAGAACAGGAATAGCAAAGTTGGAAGGGACCTTGGAGTTCTTCTAGTCCAACCCTCTGCCTAGTCAGGAAACACTACACCACTTCAGAGAAATGGCTGTCCAACATCTTTTTAAAAACTTCCAGCGTTGGAGCGTTCACAACGTCTGGTGGCAAGTTGTTCCACTGATTAATTGTTCCCAATGTCAGGAAATTTCTCCTTAGTTCTAAGTTGCTTCTCTCTTTGATTAGTTTCCCTCCATTGCTTCTTGTCCTGCCCTCAGGGGCTTTGGAGAATAGCTTGACTCCCTCTTCTTTGGGGCAGCCCCTCAAATATTGGAAGGCTGCTATCATGTCTCTCCTGGTCCTCCTTTTCATCAGACTAGAGATACCCAGTTCCTGCAACCGTTCTTCATATGTTTTAGCCTCCAGTCCCCTAATCATCTCTGTTGCTCTTCTCTGCACTCTTTCTAGAGTCTCAACATCTTTTTTTACATCGTGGCACCATCTAAGGTCACTTTTGAGCACCACCAAGGAAACGGCATAGACTTATCACTCAGCACCATTAGCAGTTGACATTAAATCAGATGAGGATTACATCCTGCCAAGAATTAAACCATGTGTTGGTCCTTCTTATTTGCTGAACCATTTCAGTCAGTTTTGCAGATTTTGGGGGATGTTACCCTACCTCCATTCCCTTTCAACCCAGATCTTCCAACCTAAGAATAAGCGGGTTTCACACAACACGCAAAACCTGGGTCAACAAATAATAAAAACAGCCGTCATCACCTAACATCCTATCCAAACCAGCAATCTGCTGGATGGGCTTCAAGAGATGCCAGCCTCCCACAATATTGCCACAAATGCTAAACTCTAACAGGCCACCGATGACGACACAATCAAAATTTGACATGAAACAAACTGCTCTTTTAACATATGTTAACTGTCGAGGTGGTGCTTTTTTCCAATCCACTAGGTCAGCTGTATGCACTAGGTCAGCTGTATGCAACTTTTAAAGATTTATGGACTTCAAGTCCCAGAATTCCCTAGCCAGCATGAATGGTGGGAATTGAAGTCCAGAAGCCTGAAAGTTGCCAACGTTGGATACTCTCGATCCAACAGAATCAGGAACATTGGAGAGAGAAGGGGGAAAAATATGCATTTTGAGTAGATGGATAGAGATAGGGCAGGTTTTTTTCCCAAATGTGATCACTCTGCTAAACAACTGATTCCCATCACACTGTCAAACTATTTAGTGAGACTGTATTACTGTTCTTCTTCTCATCCTTCCTATTACCTATCTCTTCCAACTTATGACTATAACCGTGTTACTTGTATCTTTATAATTTATATTGTTTTATTATTCCCTGGTATGATTTGATTGCTTATTAGTAACCTATGACTATCACTAAGTGATATATCTTACGATTCTTGAGGAATGTATTTTATTTTTTTCTTTATGTACACTTTATGTACCAAAGACAAATTCCTTGTGTGTCCAATCACACTTGGCCAATAAAGAATTCTATTCTATTCTATTCTATTCTATTCTATTCTATTCTATCCTATCCTATCCTATCACTATATGAACGATCTGAATACTTAGCCAGGTTAAAGTGTCCAGGTAGGAATTGAGATGTTCTAGAACAGCAGTCCCCAACCTTTTCTATACCCCACGCCCCTAGAATAATATATTCTCGTACCTTTAAAAATAATAATTATATGCATATAATTACACATATACACTATAATTTTGAAACTTCTAAACTCAAGGTTTTTGCATTCCCCTGGAATATCGTTTTTCCAGCCCCCGTTGAGCACCCCTGTTCTAGAAAGAAGCTAGTCACTGGATTATTTTTCGAGAAAACAAGAGTGCAGCAAAAAAGCCCAGGAAAGCTTCTGAGTGGGAATTTAATCCTTGTTCACAGGTGTGTCACTTTTGGCAAAATCAATACTCAATCAGAAACTCACTAGACAAGCATTTGCTTACCATGACTTCCAATACTTTGTCTAAAACTTACATTTTTAATATCGTATTTTGCTTCGGCTCTGATCAACCAGGGCATCGCCAACCCCAAGGGTGCCTTCCAACCCTGCTTGGAAGCACTTTGCAAACCTCTGGATTTTCAAGGGGCTCCCCCGCCCCAAAGTCCCAGGGATTCTGCATTCACACAATACCCTTAACTCCCTTGCCTTAATTCCACCCCACCCCACTTTTCTCTGGGTTCCCACCAGACCCAGAGCCCGTAAAAACAACCCAGGCTAGTCCGCACGGCGTGTCAAACCCACGGAAGAGATTCAACCCGCCTTCAATCCCATCGGGGTTATTAAAGCGTTCGTGTGAACCCAGCCAACCGATTTCCCCAACCCGGATTCTTTCCTCACCTGCCGGTCTGGAAGAGAGGGAAACGAAACGACCCTCCCCGGAGCCCCCTACTCTTGATTTCCTCCGAACAAGGGACACCCCCGTCAAGCCCATCATCCTCTGCTGCAACCGAACGATGGGTCTGGCGGTTCCATCCTTGCTTCTTTCCTCCCTTTCGCCGCAGCGGAGGCTCCCGGAGGCGCCCCCCGCCCGTTGCGGTCCTTACCTCCGCAGGGCGGCGAGCCCAGCAGCCCCGCCAGCAGCAGCAGCCACCGCAGCGCCCGGCGCATGGCGGCGGCGGGATCCCCTCTGAGCATAGCAAGAGCGTCTCCCGGGTCCGGACCGGACGCCGGGCGAGGTAGCGGACAGCGGGAGAGATGGGAGTCCGGAGTTTGCCTGCCTGCTCTTCGCTCCCGGCTGGGAGAAAGTCTGCAAAAGCGGCGCGACCGGCTCCTCCGCCTCCCTGAGCCCGCTCCTCCTCGCCGGCGCTCCCTTCGCTTCGCCCCGCCGCGGAGCCCCCCGTCCGTCCTCGCGGCTGCCAGGCGCCCGACTGAACTCCGCCGCGCGGCTGGCCAGGTACGCTGCGGCTCGGCGAATTCAGGGGGCGGGGCCGCCGGGGCCAGCCGGCGAGCCGATTGGCTTTTCAAAGGTCCGGCCGGCTCTCGGAGTGGCTGGAGGGTTTGACCGTGCCCCGATTGGGCGGCGCGGCTGTCGCCTGGATGAGGGGGGGGTCCCCGCCCGCCCACCCACCCCGGTGGGCAGGGCCAAGTGGAAGGCGGGGAGGGAAGCTGCGTTCTCACGACCCGCTTAACTCGCCTGGTGGGATCGATGCGTGGTGTTTGTTGGTTTTTTTTTCCCCCCTGGCTAGGAGGGATCCAAAGGGGCAGGTTTGGCTCAGCCCTCCAGCCAAGAAGCCAAGTGGACTTTGGATGAGGGGATGCTGCCAGGGGATGCCACCCCAAGCCGAGTAGAAGTATCGTGGGAAGAGTAGATAATGTGGGTCTTCAGTCAGCCCCTGTTATTTACCTTTCTTGACATCTCCAGAGACAAACATCTCTCCGCCCCGGCTATCTGCTTGCTTGTCTTTCTGTCTCTCTCTCTCTCCTATCTTTCTGTCTGTCTGTCTGTCGGTCTATCTATCTTCTATCTTCTCTCTCCTGTCTATCTATCTATCTATCTATCTATCTACCTACCTACCTACCTACCTACCTACCTAATCTATATTTATCATGTCTATGTCTATCATCTATCTAGCTATTTTCTGTCTAGCTATCATCTACTCTCTCATATCTATCTATCTATCTGTCTGTCTGTCTATTTGTCTATCTATCTAATCTATCATCTATCTATCTGTCTATCTAGCTATCATGTCTATCATCTATCTAGCTATCACATCTATCATCTATCTAGCTATCTATCTAGCTATCTGTCTAGCTATCTAGTCTATCATCTAGCTATCTAGCTGTCTATCATCTATCTTCTCATTCCCGCTCTCATCTGTATCTATCTATCTATCTATCTATCTATCTATCTATCTATCTATCTATCTATCTATCTATCTATTTGTTTTCTATCTATCTATCTATCTATCTGACAACTGCAACTGATTTACAACCAATTAAAAAACAAGATTAAAAAAACACAAGGACATCAACATAATAAATATTAGCTTAAACGTGGTTTATTGCGGATTCAAAATATGGTGTTTTTATTGTTGTTGTCAATCTAGGCTACAATCAAAATAAATCCTGCTGGCTCATATTATTACCATATATGGTGGACATGTCCGGATACTAAAAAATATTGGACTAAAATCCACACGTGGTTGGAAAAAATGACAAAAAAGCATATAGACTTGAAACCAGAGATATTTTTATTGGGAATTTTACCGGAAATATATAGTAAAGAATTGAAATATCTGATCGTAAATGTATTAACAGCAGCTAGGATTGTATTTGCCAAAAACTGGAAAAAGGAGAAAATACCATTACAGGAGGAAATCATTGAGAAAATATTGGAATGTGCTGAAATGAGTAGATTGACATTTGAAATCAGAGAACAAGATGATAAACAATTTTATAAAATTTGGGATCTATCAATGGTTAGACAGTAAAACATGGTAATGAAATATGTAGATTCTTAGAAAATAATAAATACATAAAGATGTATTCTTTTCTTATTATATCTACAAAATGATTGTAGGATAGATTTGAGATGATAATATGAACTGTCATAAAACAAATTAAATAAAATCTGGATTATTTCGTAAAACATGAATGAATAAAAGTATAGTCAAATGATTGATGAACAATGATATTAAGGTATTTAATATTTGATTGAAAATATGAGAATACATACAATGTAATTGTAATTGAAGACTATGAAATGGAAGCACAAAACAATTTGTAAACCAACCGACACACTGTATGTATATGTTTTTATGTTTTGTTTGTCTATGTTCGTCTTAAAAACCAATAAAAATTTTAAAAAACAAAAGCAAAATAAGTCCTGTTGAATTCAGGGAGGGTGTGGTTCCCCTCCACACCCTCCCTGAATTCAGCATTGTACATCCACCATTGTAAAATGGGGGCAAAACTCACAATATCTGTCTCCCTTAGCAACAGACATTTTGGACTCAGCAGTGGCCATAAGTCGAGGACTACCTGTATTGCAAAACGCAAGGTAGATTAATAATAAAACAGAAAGATGATGTCGGAAGCTACGATCATTCTGGAAACTTAACCAGGATAATTTGCCTTCTTTGGGGTGCAACTTGGAAGGAAAAGAGAGATCTTGTTTACAATAGTGTATGATTATTTGGGGTATCATAAATATCCAAAAATCAATGGACCTGTCATTATCCTTATCATGACATGATTGTAATGATCGTAAAAAAAATGAGGATGAAATAGAAATAAATAGTTGATGGAAAACTTGGGATAGGAAGCAGCTTTACTGTGTCAAATGCAATCAAAATATTCCAGATTTTTATGGCTCCGATGACTAGGCTGTAAGGCTTGGTTCAACTCAGCTGAACAAAGCTATAAATTATGTTGCCACCAAGTCAAAATCCTATTTCTCCTACAGTTTTAGAAGCCATTCTTATTTTATTTTATTTTTATTTCTGATTGGTTTCTGTGAATCTGTGATTAGATGGCTCGGAAGCCCCTTTTATATAGAGAAGAAGACATCCTTTCAAATGTCATCCAGATAAAAAGAACTTCATAAATAATTTGGTAGAGTTAATAAATTAAAAGGACTGGATAGCAATAAGCATTTGCAGAGACCAAGGAAAGAGTCAGCATATTAATTGAGAGCTAGACTATAGGAAAGATAGATAGATCTGAATTTTGATCACGTGGTCGTGGGGATGTTGAAAAGGTCACAACTGTGGAAAAACTCATAAGTCACAATTTTCAGTGCTGTTGTAACTTTGAATGCTCGCTAAACAAACGGTTGTAAATTGAGGACTACCTGTACACACAAAAACACGCACACACACGTATATACATGCATACATACATACATACACCCATACATGTATATACATACCAACATACCATCATCTTTTAACAACCAAACAATCCCTTGCGGGGTGGAGTCTGTGCAACTGGATGGAGCTAGCAAAGTGTTTTAATGGCCAGATACTCTTCCTGTTGCCAATGCGGAGTTTTGTTCGGCAGACATATTCTCATCATGAATAAAGAGAGAGAAATATCTGCCTAGGATTGAACTCACAGCCTCCTGATTGTGAGGCCAGAGCTCCACCTCTTGGTCACTGCACCACCCGTGTGCGTGTGTGTGTGTGTATACATACGCAGCCTTGTGTTCCTGCGCAGCCTGGATTGATTGCTTTGGGGGTTGCTCTGAGGGTGACATTTCTCTGCGGACCACCAAAATGTTCTCACAGATCACCAGTGGGCCGCGACCCACCGGTTGGAGACCACTGGTCTAGGGCAGTGATGGCAAACCTATGGTCTGCGTGCCACAGGTGGCACGCAGAGCTATGTGTGCGCGCCGCCCAACTGATTTTTGGCCTGTTTGAGGCTCTTTTCGCCCTCTTGGAGGCTTGAAGGAAGCCTCCGTAGCCTTGGGAGGCCGAAAAACAGGCCTGTTTCGGCACTTCTGGTATTTTCAGAAGGCCTGTTTTTCGGCCTCCCGAGGTTGCGGAGGCTTCTCTCAAGCCTCCAAGAGGGCGAAAAAGGCCTCCCCCAGGCTCCAGAGGCCCCCCAAGAGGCTGAAAATGGGCACTTCCTGTATTTCCGGAAGGCCCATTTTTCGGCCTCCTGAGGCTGCAGAAGCTTCCCTCGAGTTTCCGGAAGGGTGAAAACTGTCTCAAACAGGCCGAAAATCAGCTGGGAGGCATGCGAATGTGCAGTGCAGGTAAGGGGTGGGGTGAGGGTGTTGCATGTGTAGGGGGTGGGGGGCGGATTGCATTGTGGGTGCTGGCACGCACATGCTTTCGGCACACCACAACAAAAAGGTTTGCCACCACTGGTCTAGGGTTTCCTCATTAAGCAGGGGGTTGGACTAGAAGGCCTCCAAAGTCCCTTCCAACTCGGTTATTCTGTCATCGAGTCACTGAACGGCTCGCCGATTTTGCAAACAGTAATTCCAGTCCAGCCTTTTAATTAAAGCTACCTGCGCCGTTGTCACCTGTCGGCCCTGACCTTGAGCTGAGCCAGGGATCAAATAAAATAGGTCTTGTTTCTTTTGGCACAAAAGAGTGGATTTTTGGAAAAAGCAGGGAGTGGCCAGGGAGTGTTTGAGTCATTGAGGTTGCTCTTCAAAATCCCTGCATTGTGCATTGATGGAGAAAATTGTGAAAGTAAACAACAGGCCTGCTGGTTATTTATTTGGGCTTTTAGATTGATATGCAGGTCGTCCTCAACTTATGACAGTTTGTTTAATGACTGTTCAGCATGACAATGGCACTGAAAAAA